CTCCTCTCTTCATTCACTGTGTGTTTTTACTGATTTCTGATCTAATCTTTTAATTTGTATACTTTCAATGACATTCTTTCTTTCAGGACTTCAACTTTAACGATGCTTCTGTTAATCAAAATCACTCTTTTATGCCCATCGACTTCAGCTGAACGGTTCTACTGAAAGCTTCGCTCAAGGCTAAATTCCTATAAAATGTCAACTTAGTGTTATCACCCAGCTTTAGCCTCAGCTTCTTTCAGTGCCTCCAGATCAAATGATCAGTAGAAGTAAGCACAAATGTGTAGTTCCTGGTTCTTTCCACATCTCTCTGGGGAACAATTGTCCACATTTTCCAACTCACACACTTTTCTGGAATTCCCACAAAGATGCTAATACTCTGTGCCTGTTTGGTAAACACGTTTTCTCTCTACACTTAAGACCATTTCCCCCATTGAAGGTTAGATTGTAGAAACAAGGCTTATTCTGTAGACACAGGCTCTGCAGATAATACTAATCATGCCAACGGCAGGGAGGGGAAAACTGATCAGAGCGACACATCACCAAACAAGGAAAACTTGTACCAAATTACAACCTATGTTCAAGGAAATATCTCGAATTCTTTTGGTTAAGCTGACAGGAGCACTGACTTGTCCGCGAGGCCTGAAGAAAGGAGCGCGAGCTAGTGCATTAAGGAAAAGTACACACTATAAGATATTTAGACTACAGCTAGTCTACCCTTAGATATGAATCATTAACTCGACTCGGTTCTGAAAACTCATTCTTGACTTTGGAAACAGAAGTTGGAAAAATAGTATCACTCTAAAGTTTTTGGAGCTTTTGACTTAATTAAGTTTGCCTTGTTCTTGGATTTGTAGAACCAGCACAGCAGACGTGAACGGAGCACTCCTGTTTCATCTAAGAAAATTCTTCTATCCAAAACTATCCACACTAAGGTCTGTGGATGATCCAGATACACAGGACAGTGTTTCTAAAATAGCATTGTACTTATGAATATTTTAAAAAAGCAATTTATCATCAGTGTGAGCGCCACAGAAAGCGAGATGATACAGAGTAAGATGATAGGACTAAGTGAGAATGTACACTTTTAATAAAGTGGTTAATTGACCCTTTAAGACACCCCCTGAGGACCATGTGAAGGGAAGTGTTACTAACCAGTAACCTGAGCTGTACAGCTGTGCTCTGTATGTTCACATCTCCGTTTCATCCTGTCATAATGAATGTAGGAGTTCATGCAAGAGTGATCAAGAGGCAGCGATTAAACACAACTATGCATGACGAGTACGAAAGGATAACAGGAGAGGTAGTCCACAATCCAACAACACACACACACGTCTTCCACTGTCAAGCTCTGTGGCCTAGAGGTATGCAAAGTATCTTCCTATCCCTAACCCCTGCATGCAGGCTAAACCCAAACTTGTGCGTGGAAAAGATGTTTAGCAGCGGGAGGAAGTCATCTTTTAATCGAGGTGTGAAAACACTGACGTGCTTAAGATCAAAACACATTCAGCCGTGTCAGTCATACCGAATAAAGCCACACACTGATCCAGGTTTTTTTCCCCCATTTATTTCAACACTAACAGTCATGTGCAATATTGTGCTGACTGGCGTCATGGCGTGACATCTGTTGCTGTAGCCTCACAGTTGCTAATCTAGAGCCGTCTATCTAGAAAAAGCAGGCTGAATGTCCCAAACTAAGAAACCCAAACTGTTCCCGATCAAGCGACATAAATGAGCTACACGCTGGTCGTTTTGGTGTGAGGAGACACATCACAGCTAACTCCACAGACACAGTATTATCAGCTATGTGTCATAAACGTGTTACTTTTCACCATTTACAGGTAGACAGAGTCAAGATCTGAAATCACACAGTGCTGACATAACACAGGGTAAATGATTTATTTGAAGGACGATCTTAAAATAATGATATATATATATATTAGCTTCTGTTTCTGACTCCCCTTGCAGCAGGGGCGCCACCAAGGGGGCCTCCGCAGTGGCACCCCTGGCAAGACTGTCCTATGTTGGTAATAATTCTAATAAATGTGAGCACAAGTGAGAGGAAGACAACCCAAAATAACTTAAAACATTAACTTGTTATTTATTCCAGCTTTAAACAGATTATTAAGGATGTCAAAATCTGATGTGGTTTTCATGTATCTATTTTCAGTGATGTCAACTTTAATAGCAGGAAATTATTTAGGCATATCATTGTTTTCTGTCTCTCTTCTTCTTTTTTTTTAATTTGAAGTAACATGTGTTTAACAACAGCATAATGAAACTGGAAATTCAGTTTTTGATGTGCCACCCCAATATTTTTAGTGGCCCCCCTTTGGCCACCCCTATGCAAAAATTCTGGAGGCACCCCTGCCTTGCAGCTGTTAGAGTAGCATACCAGGCAGCACAGCTAACACTGCTTTGGAGCAAATATTTCCAGGAAAAAGATGAAGAGAGTCTTAAAATAGTCCAGTGGGCGGCTATGGAGGGACTGCTAAAATTTTGGGGTGCTGAATCTCCCAAAAAGCATCTTAAAGCCTTACAGGTGTTATTCAAAGAGGTCCGCCAGCATGTAAAGGTTTAGATTAGACAGTTTTCTAAACTGTTTCTGTAAATAAGTGGGATGTTGTTATGCCTATTTAAACTGGAAATAGGTAGGGGGGGTATTTTGCTGATTGGGCAAAAAACATATCCACCATAATGTAAATAACTAACGTGCAGGTTCACACATGTAAACCTGCTGTTTCAGTTTGTTACACAAATGCGTGTGGCGTCTGATAGAGGAAGTAATTCCTCGACTTGAACTTTGATAAAAACATCTGGCTTTTCTTGTCTGTTCACATTGATTATGCTTGAGTAAGAAGCTTTTCATGCTAACAACACTGCTCAGAGCAGCAAACACGATGTTCCACTACAATAATCCAGACCCAGATTTAAAGGAGCACTCTGTCAATTTCGCTAACCAAATTCAAAGTACTCATCAGGAGGCGCAATCCCCAGCTGATGTAAATAAATTGCTGATGTTTTCTGTTTCTGTCACTCGTCATGACAACACCTAGCTTATCTCATGTTTATCTAACATATGGTCTAAGATTTAAAAGCTGTGGGCATCGAGGGGGCAGGAGGGTCTAATTAGAGATCGTACCCAGTTGCATTTTAGGAAATCCTGAAGATTCAGAGGTTTGGGATCTGTTTGAGAAACAGGAGCCTCTGCTGTTTCTGTTTGTTTTACAGTCCGTTTCCTGTGATTCCCCTAATCTGTTACTACATTGCTGGAGTTCCCCCTTTTTCCATAGCTGTTTCATTAGAAAGATGGCACTTTTTTTCTTGCTGTTAACCCAACCTAATAATCAAATAGATAAATCAACTTAAAAAAAAATATGTTTGGAAACCTGGTGCTTGTTCAGGGCTATTCATGACATAACACTTGGCCTTCTCTGGCTTTGCTTACTTGAAACGCTAAGAGCTCATGGAAATATATAATGCATGATGTTGACTTTGCATCGGTTTAAAGGGTCACAAGCTCACAGCAATCAAAAACCACAAGAATCAAATAGTTCATTTTTTTCTTTTTAAGTCTAGAATGTGAGAGTTCAGCAGTATGGTTAAATACGTATGACTTCTTGTGCTTAAGAGACACGCTATACTGTATGACAGGACAATATCGAGCGATCTATCAGCTCTGCTTAGCCGACTAGATCAGGGATCAGTATACGTTCATAAACTCTACGGTATAATTGGTCCAAACCCTGATATCATTCAGAATATTAGGCAGTTCTGGGTAATAATAGTCGGCGCTTATAGTTTCCAGTCTTATTTTGAAAAGGAAGCAATGAACTGATTCCACATTTACTTTTTTGGAGACTGAAAGAGCTTCAACGTGTTCTTAGCTGACTCATCTATCTGTATAGTAGTGGATAGCTGACTAGTCTTTACTGTGCATTAAGATACATTTCATGTTGGCCTTTTAAAGGAAACTTTGCATGGCCATTAGACCTACTTTCAGCATAACAACACTTAGCCGTGTCTTTCAGTCGCTTCAGCGAGTTATTGGACTCCCTGACAAAAGCGAGCTGTTACCTCTGAGCCATCCTTCCATCGATGACGCCTTAAAGTTAATTTGAGGACTACAGATTTTAAGAGGCTTCTTATAATACTCTTCTAGGTTATTTCGCCTAACAAGTGGTGCTTTGTTGACCTTCCTCTTACAGGTCAAAGGTCAGCTATAGAGCAGCATGGCATCTCTCTCTATAAGCATGCTGTCCTTTCTAGCTTATTGTGCATGACTACATGTCAGAATTATTGCTATAGAACTACATCATCCATACAGAGGTGCATTTTGGGTAGGGGAGAACATCTCCCAGTATTGCCAACACTGATTTCTCTGCCCCTGAGTTTATGGCATTGCATAAAAGTCCAACATGCTTCCAAGCAAAGTCTATACGAGTGACTCGCACACAGGTGTGTTGTCAGAGTCCTGGCTGTGCATGGAGCTCAGCCCCGTGTCCGAGTCCTCATCGTTTGTGTTGCAGGCT